ACCTTTTCCCCGAAGAAGTAACTATTTACCAAGAGGACTCCCTGTGAAGTCTGAAGTTAGTAGTGGGGTATGGGAAGGGGTGGAGATTTGGGTTCTATGGTGCCCCTGCCCTTAATGGGAAGAGAATGTGCTAGACTCTCTGCCTTCTGGAAATTGGGGGAGAGTTACTCAGCCTCAGTTTCCCATTGTGTCAGAGGCAGATATTGAGCCTTCCATGCAGGGTTACAGTAAAATTAGGTGAAGAGCAAATGAAAGTTGCAGCACAATGCCCAGCACACTAGGACTCTAGAGCCATTTCTGTTATTTTTTATATATATATTTGAAAAAAGGGGAAAAGAAGCATTTTGGAAATGTTTTGCTTAGTAACTGTTTGTTTTAACTTATTGCCTCTAAGTAAAAACATTTTCTTACACCATCACTGTCTACAACCACATTCCATATATATATATATTTTTTTTAAATATATTTTTATTGATTTCAGAGAGGAAGGGAGAAGGTGAAAGAGATAGAAACCTCAATGATGAAAGAGAGTCATTGATTGGCTGCCTCCTGCATGCCCCATACTGGGGATTGAGCCTGCAACCAGGGCATGTGCTCTGACCTGGAATTGGAACCGTGACCTCCTGGTTCATAGGTTGACGCTCAACCACTGAGCCATACCAGCTGGGCCCAAATACATTCTTCCTTCTGCTCTTTCTGGATATTTCTTGAAATGATATATGCTTCCCACTTCTTTCCCCATAAAAATCATATCATCCTTCAAGGCTTTGAGCAAATGTCTCCACAAAGCCTTCTCAGATGCTCTAGTGCTGCGGAGAGGACATAACCGGAAGATCTCTGAATCTGAAAATGGGATTGAAAATAGTCATAGTGTGGATGAAAGGAGATAATGTATATGAAATGCTAATCATCATATCCAGCTCATAGTACATTATTCTAAAGAAAAAGAAGAATAGCTTTTCTTTCAGGTAGTGCCAATGAGAATGGAAAGAAAACCAGAAAGTACATACAGGGACAGGCCTCAGTGGTTGATTCCTTGTATGGAGTGGGAAGGAGAGGAGGGGACAGGATGACACTTGGATCTCTAATTTTTGAGCAAGAGAAATGAAGGCATTCATGGAGTTAGGGACAAAAGTGGGTTTTTTGTTTGTTTTTTGTTTCTGTGGGGGTTTCATTTTTGTTGTTTTGTTTGAATGGAATGTTGCAACTAGAAGACATGGCACTTGGTCCTAGGCATGTGGAATTTAACAAGTTCTTGGGACACCCAAGATATCCAAAGACTGTTGACTAATGGGTCTGGATCTGAGGAGAGAGGTATTTGAGTGTCTCTTTCTCTTTCTCTCTTTCTTTCTATCATGGGCCTAAGTCATCCTTCAACTCATTTGAAGGATTATAACTTACAGACCCATGGTTTAGACTCTAGAGCAACGGTTCTCAACCTGTGGGTCGCGACCCCTTTGGGGGTCGAACGACCCTTTCACAGGGGTTGCCTAAGACCATCAGAAAACACATATATAATTACATATTGTTTTTGTGATTAATCACTATGCTTTAATTATGTTCAATTTGTAACAATGAAATTGGGGGTTACCACAACATGAGGAACTGTATTAAAGGGTCGCGGCATTAGGAAGGTTGAGAACCACTGCTATATAATGTTTCTTGCTTTGAATTCTACATTGTCTTACGATAATATTGCTACCTCAAATTTTTTTCACTTACATGCCATAATTTTGACCACTGCTGGATTTTATCTCTTCTAACATGTGAGTTATTTTTCCACTTTACTTAATTTTTATTTGTTAAAACTGAGATTTAAAAAAACTCCTAACAAAATTTTCCATCTTTATCATTTTTAAGTTGCAGCTCAGTAGTACTGACTAGATTCACATTGTTGTGTAACAGATCTCTAGACCTTTTTCATCTTGTAAAACTGAAACTCTGTACCCATTGAACAACAACTTCCTATTTCCCATTCACCCCACCCCTGGGCAACCACAATTCTTTTTGTTTCTATGAGTTTGACTATGTTAGATACCTCATATATGTGGAATCGGATAGTATTTGTCTTTTTATTAGTAGCTTGTTTCACTTAGCATAATGTCCTCAAGGTTCTCACATGTTGAACATGTGATAGGATTTCTTTCCTTTTTTAAGGCTGAATAATATTCCATTGTGTGTGTATACCACATTTTCTTCATCCATTCATCTTTTGATGGACATCTGGGTTGAGGAAGCTACTGTGAATAGTGAGTGACATGAATATGAGTACCTCTTGGCTATTGTGGATAATGCTGCAATGAACACGGTGTGCCTCCAGATGCAGACATTAATCCAGCTCATGCCTAAAGATGGTTTTGACTATAACTAAAATGGCAGGCTTGAGCTGGCAGGGAGGAGGCGTGGATCCCATCTCTGGTTGTCTGAGAGCAACAGCAGAGTGAAGGAGAAATACCCTGAGTGACTCAGAGCAGAAAGTTTCCTGTCTGAAAGGGCATACATAGGCCGACCCTGTGCAGGACACCATGGTCGGCACTTTACTATGGAAGGAGAAGTGTGGGAGGTTTCTTGAATTTAAAAAATTATGACAATACAGTTGTTTTTTTCAAATTCCCATGATGATAAAGAATAATGAAAACAGAAACAGGCCCAGCAGGGGAGGATATGAGAACCTCAGCATGGAGGTGTTATTTGGAAAGAGAGTTCATTGTGAAAAGAATATATTCACACTTCAAATATAATACAGACTACTGAAATTTAAGCTTAACATGTTTTCTGACTGTTGGGGTGTGGATTATGATAATAAAGAAAGTGGTCTGTGTGGCTGATGACAAAGAAACCAATCTCTCAAAGGATGCAAAAGCCCCGGCCAGGGTTATAGCCTGATGTTCTGAACTCTCTAGGTTGTTTACTCTCTTAAAGAACTTCAG